CAATATTATATAAATGATCTTGATCATAATGTTTTAATATTGGCCATGGTTGACTAAGATTTTGTGTTAAATAAGAATGCATTTCTAGACAAGAAGAATTATATAAACTAGTCACTTGATTTATTATGTCAACGCACACCTCTTTTTTCGTTGCAGTAAAAAGATAAGAATATGTTAGTCTTTGTTTTTATTTTTTAAAGATAACAAACATATAAGCAAACTGTATATATTACAAGAAAAAGTATGAAAGTTGATAAATAAAGAGCATATCACAAAATTTGAAAACAAAAAAAAAGAAATTATTTTAAGATTTGATAAGATCATTCGTTATCGTGTTCGTCATCTAAATAAAAAATTAAAATAAATATAAGAAAATATTTGAAAAAAAAAATTTTTTTTTGTTACCATTTTCTAAATCACTTGTTAATTTATCAACATTCGTAGCAATCATTGTTGAAACATCATCGGTTAATGATAAATTATCAAGATCCGGCATGAGTAAAAGCTATAGATTATAATATTAACAAAAAAATAACACAAGATATTTATTGTTAATTTGAGATTACTTACTGAAACATTATTTTCAATAGGTGATAGTGGTATTTCGGGTTTTATTAAAACAGGATCTTCACTTTCACTTGAACTACTACTATCATCATCTTCATCTTCATCATTATCAATACGTATAATCGATGGTTGAGCATGTGTAATTGGTTCAATTGTTCTGTAATATATAATACAATATATAAAGCTATTTTTATTTTATAAAAATCATGCTGGATAGTTTTTAAACGATTGAATTGAAACTATTATACGTTTTAAAAAAGAATAGACTCATTTGTTTGTTGAATAGCTCAATAACGCTGATAGCTATCGAGCTCGAGTTTTTGCCGTTAGAGTGAGCATGAGTAGGAGGTACAAGTTTGCCTGCGAATCAAAATACTTGAAAAGTTTTCTAGCGAGTTCCAGGAATTTTTTGGAAAATTTCTCGAATTCCCTAGAAAACTTTTCAAATATTTTGATTCTCCAGTAGACTTGCACCTTCATCCATGCTCTTTCGAACGGTGAAAACTTGAACTCGATAACTATCAGCGTTGCTAAGTTATTCAACAAACAATTGAGTCCATTCTTTTTTGAAATGGATAATAATTTCTTAAATGCAAATTTTTAGTTACAAATAGAGATCTGAAAAATCACTTTTGTTTCTAAGAACAAGCAAGTTTTTTATAATCTGTATAATTCTTCGAATACATACAAGAGCTCAATAAGCTCTGATCGCAAGCAACAATCCAATGTCGATAAATCTCAATATAAAAAATTTACGCTAAAAACATTAGTTTTTCATTACTTAAATGCGTTAACCTCCATTTTCTTATTATTATCAAATCAAATTTCCCATATCTATATTGTATCACAGTTAGTACACTCCAATCCACTTTAATCTTGAGGTACAGGGAAATCTTCATTGTCTGGAACGATCTCAGCATAGATATCTTCTCCATTAATGATTCCAATCGTGAAATTTTCAAGGTAAATGATTAAAATCGATCACTACTTTTCGACGATTCCTATCAACTTTCATATGAAGATTACTTAAAGAATATTTCACAAATCCAGCAAACTAAAACTGTTTGACATGTAGTTTTTATTTGTGATATAGGCAGCACTGAGCTGTTGAATGAGGAGTCGAACGTCATGACATTTGTTTTACTATGTCGAGATATCTTGGTTTGAAGAAAAAATCTATGTTAACCTTCTGGCTCCTCCGTATGAAACCCAATCACGTTCTGATTAGTTCTTACGATCAACATTAAACATGCTTCTATTTGTGGTCAAACTATGAGGATTAAAGTTCCGGTACGGTTTCACATTTTAATCCTACAAGAATTACGCTAACACCTTTTTTTTTCAGGTTACGATGATGTGACTCGAGAATTTTGAATGCAAACAAAATCTATATGAATAATCTTGAATCAATGCTACTGCGAGAGTCTATTTGAATGTATCGAAATTTAGGATCTGCAGGACTATAGTTGATATTTTTAGAGGCGATTCGACGCAATTCTTTGAAAAATAAGACGTACATTTGTAAATTAGATTTTGTATTTTGAACAAATTTCAACAATGAAACTAAGCATTTCATAGCAAAACAATGTACATGTATTTCACCTATCCAAAAGTCTATAGAAACTATCAAAAAACTCCGATTCTTAAACTGTTACAAATAATTTCGGATGACAACTTAATATCTATGTATGAAATAAATTTATCTAAATCAAATATTCAGAAAACATAATTCTTATACAAGTTAAAAAGTAAATATTCAAAAACATACTTATAATAATCAGTAACTACTTGTCGAATACGATCAGTTAATTCAAGTACTTTTTTAAAAGCAAGTTTTTTACATAATTCAACTTGTTCTTTTTTTAAACCTAATTTTCCACCCATATGAATTCCACATATTTCTTTATGTTGATTCATTGAAATAGAAAAAAATCCATCCATAAGACGTTCTTCATCAGAATTTGGATCAATTAATGTATAATGACTAATATATATTAATAAATAAATGAAACAAAAACAAAAAAAAAATTTCGAATAAATTTACCCATCAATAAAGAAAGCAAATAAAACATTAATTGGAAAATGAAGAATACGTAATGGACGAGCTCGACGTTCAGTTGATGAATACTATTCGAAATAGAATTTAAAAAAATTTTTTTTTTTATAAATGTAAACAAATTTAACAAACCACTCGAATTTCTGATCCATGCACAGATACTTCTGGTAGACTAAAGAAAATAAATAATAGAAAAATAAATAATAAAATATTTTAATTACAAACTAACCGAAAATGATATAATGAACAAAGTGTTGCTATATTAGCACAATCCAATATATTACCACAATTATTTAGTACAATAAGATCAATTTTAATGGACCATACCTTTAAAAAAAGAAAACAGAAGTCAATTAAAATATAAATTAATATATTTAATTATTTTACTAATTCTCCAGAATTAATACATAATGATTCAAGATCAAGACAATTTGAATGACGAATATTTTGTTCAAGAATACCGTTTAATTCTTGTACAAATTCTTGATGTCTATTATTGAGAAAATTTTCAAAAAACAAAAAAAAAATCTTATATTCAAAAGTGAAATTTATAACTAACTTCCAATTTTCTAAATTAATTAATGGAATTTTTGACATATCGAGATGAATACGAATATGTCCTTCTGATGCGCGTGATTCTTTTGGTTTAGTTATACGACATGACGCTTGTGCAATAACACTAAACAAAAAATATTTAAAAAAAAATTAAAGAATAAAATTCTCTATAATTTACTGTGTTTGACCAAGAGTAACTGAAACATAACCAGGATGTGCACGAAATTCAATATTAATCGAACGAGTTTCATCAATCGTTCGAAGATCCAAACGCTGAGAAAGAAAGTAAAGAAAAAACATCTTTTTTTTTTGTTTTAATCAATTATCACTTAACTCACTTTATGATCACGAATACATTTTAATACAACGTTACGTTCAATGGTTGAACAAATTAATTCTTTCATCTAAAGAAAGAAATGATCTGATTTTCTTTGTTTATTTGATTGTTTTCTATTAATTAAATTTTATTTTTTTTCTCGTTCAACAATAATATATCGTATTTAATACCTTAAGAGAAAAAAAGTCAATATTAACAGAAAATCGCAAATGAATTTTTTTTTTCTTTACAACAAGTTTATACGAACAAAAAAAAATACAACATAAAAAAAGATAATGATTTTTTCATAGAGCTTTTTTTTTATCTGATCATTAGAAATGTTTATATGACTTGATTTGTTTTTTTTACATAGATTCTTATAAATCTTTATCGACTTGATTAATAAGTGTTTTTAACTTTTCCCATTGATCAACAGTTAAACTAATGCCTAAATATAACAAAAAAATAAATAAAACACAATATATATTAAAATGAAAAAACAATATCTTACCTTTTTTACCAGGTTTTTGTACACCATTATCATCATAATATTCACGAATATTGATATATGGTTTACCTTTAAATTGGCTTACCGATATATAACGTAATTTACTAAGCTATAAAAATATAATAATAGAAAAAATTATCTATATCAGAAAGTATTGATATGATTTACTTCGTAAAGTCGTTCACCACTAGGTCCAGTTATTGAAGGTACGCCATCACCATCTGCTTTATCATTTGGTTTAACTCGTTTAGCTGGTGGCTATTCCATTAAAAGAAAAGAAAAAAGAAATTCGATAAAGTGAATTGATTTTGTTTATTTTTTGAAGTTACTTACATCATTCTTGTTATTTGTAGTTTTACTCTTCGACTTTGTCGATGTTGAAGCCTTAGTTTTTTCTTCATCACTAGCCGAATTCTTTTGTTCATCAGAATCCGAATTATCAATAAATTCTTTTGATTTAGGCATTGTGTTTACTTTTTTAATAAGTTTAAATCTGAAATAAATTTGAAAAATCTTTCATCACATATATGATTCATTTTTAAATATATTTCTCTATTTTGGAAAGAAAAAGTTTTTGTTAATGATGTATATATATATATATAGATGTCGACAATTCAACCATTCTATTGATTCTTTCATATTGAATAATGAGAAGGTAGGAGCTACCGATCAAACATCATAAGTTTAAATATATAAAAAGATTCAAAAGAAATTAGTGTAGAGCAAATGATTACCTTGACCTGTAATTGCGTAAAAATACCAACTACACTTTTCTGCTTTATAGTTAAGCTCATTTATCCTAATTAATTAACCATGTCTATATATTTATGTTAATAAATGCATAGATCAAGGAACACATACAGTAAGTACAAAACAAGATAACAATATAGAGTTAAATGAAAGCAATACATAACTTATATATGCAAATAAATAACGAGAACGCGACTATTAATAAAATTAATTCTAGATAATAATGATTTACTATATACATATATCAATCAAATAATTCCATGTTTTAATTCGTATAGAATAAATTCATAGGAAACAAATGTTATACAACTAACTGGTATAACACGATAAAGTGCTGGTACTACACCTTTAAAAAATCCACTAATACCCTTTCGTTTATATGTTTTCTTAATAACATCTAGTACACCATTATAACTTTGATGTTGATCTTGTAAACGTGTACATATAACTTGTATTGGATATGTCGATGTTGCAGCAATAAATTTTGATAAAGCTGAAAATGTTAAAACAACTGATGTAAGAAAATACGTTGTATGAAATGGGTTCACATAGAAACTTTTCATTTGTTCATAAGATGAAAATTGTATTGTACCATGAAATATACCAACTAAACCAGGTGTAAGACCTTTATAAAATGCTGTTATTCCTTCGGATTGATAAGTTTTTTCGAAATGCATCAAACATATTATTATATGTAATAGCTGTTTTATTGTTTGAATATTGTAAACACATACATGTTTTTATAACCCACATTGGATTTGTTAAAATAATTGTTAATAAACCAGCTGTTGTTGAATAAATTGTGCGATAATAAAATGTTAAATTTTTTATTTTATCTTGATCATTATTTAAAACAATAATTGTATTATATATAAATAAATAAAGACCCCAAGATATTCCATTTCCAACAACATTTGATGTTACACCTTCATATAAACCTTGCAGACCTCTCTCACGATAGATTGATTAAAATGCATCAAAGAGATTTTTATAATTGGTAGTCTATCTTTATTTGATTTTGATTCAGTTACTTAAAAACATATTTTAATTAGATCAAATGGATGAAGTACAATTGACGAAATAAATCCACCGAAAAGACCAGCTATAAATTGATGATATTGAATAATAGATAAAATTCGAGAAAATAATGAATAATTCATCTAAAATAAACAAACAAATAAAATTATTTTCTTTGAAATTGTACAACAAATAATCTTTCAATTAATGTTCGTCGTTTAAGTATAATATCAATATTTAATCCAACTTGATTAGCTAATTCTTTTAATGTATCAAAATTATTCTCTTCAAGAGCTACCATATAAAATAAACCTTTAGAAGAAAGTAATCGACTTGCTTGTTCAATAGCTTTTTCTATAACTTCAATACCTTGTTTACCACCTGCATAAGTTCTTTCAATAACTTCTTTAACATCAGATGTTTCTGTTGGTACATATGGTGGATTAAAAAGTATTAAATCAACTTTTGATGATAAACGATCAATTAAAGGATCAGCTAAATTACATTGAATTATATTTAAACAATGTTTTTTATGAAGATTATTTTGTTGAAATGTTCTTTTAGTTGAATAACATGCATAAGGATTAATATCAATAGCAAAAAAAAGACATGATGTTAAACAAAAATGTTTAGCAACAAATGTTGTTATTAAACCTGAACCAGAACCAAATTCAAATATAATAAAAGGTTTTTGTTCAAGAATTTCATTTAATTTTAATTCTAAAGCATCAAGAAGAAGAAATGAATCAGCATCTGGTTCATAGATTTGATTATAATCATTTCGAGTCAAATGAGATAAATCAGGAGTTGGAAACATTTATCTTGAAAAAAACAAAATTTAAGAATTATGCCTCTGTAACGTTTATTCAATACTGCCTATGTGTCAAGTGGACGGGTGGTTTGAATGAATTTATTGATAGTCTGATTTTGATAATTTATTAGTTAATTTAACCAACGAATACTATGTAGATTTACTTTAGTTTAGTTTTATGTCATAATTTTTAATTTTGAAATGAAATTACATGGAAAAATATATTTATTTTATATGAAATAAACTTTTATAATTTTAATTTCCCTGACTTGAATCTAGCGCCATCTTCAATAACATAATTATAAAAAGATTTATATGAAGAATTTTTTAATAAAGTTAAAATTCGTCGATATACAGTCTGTTCAGAACGTGCAAATTTTTTAGCAAAACCAATCGTATAAAACGAATTTATTCTACTTCTTAATTGAACAGAATTGCATCTACCTAGGACGATCATTTCGATTGTTGAAAAACAGCATCTTATGACATTAACTTTCACTGTTGTTCGCCGTAATCCATCATGTTGTGTTTTTTTCGCTAGCAAGCAGTCATTGTTTCTTCTACCATTTTCACCATATTACGAGCTTACAGAAAACGGCGCCATTTTCTTCAGTTTAGGTACTTGAATATGACAGTTGCCATCAATCAATAAACGCTTATAGTACTGTTTCCATGAAATAAACTCGTTATCACCGTAACAGTAACATGTTTTTCGAAGTTGGACTACATGCAGGGGTGTCACCGCAACAAGGGTTGCTCTTAGGGATGCAACAGTGATGAAAATTCATCAGTGCACCGTTACCATTTCATCGGTTCAAGTCAGTTTTCACAAAGGAAAGAGTTTTTTGAGAAAATAACGATTCTTTTAAATAAAGTTCTACCAAAGGTAATTGAGATCGGGGAAATAGAATCTGAAATCAGATTCTCGACATTTTAAGTTTGGTATTTTCACCAAAAAAATTTCTTCTTCTAAAAAAATCGTGTTTTTCATGCAAAACATTTTTATACGAAAAAATCGATTATCGAATTTCAAAAAAAGCCTTCCCTTTGTGAAAACCGACTTGGACCGATGATCATACCAACGGTTGTCATCACCATTGTATCCCTAGTTGCCCTCCCCCGATGTCGTGAACCCTACCTTCTCACGAGGAAAGGTCCTCTGATGAAAAATTACTTTTAAGTTGGAACTATATTCAATCGACAGGGTTTGGTAAGTAGATAAATATCCAAGAATGGTTCGAGCTGTTGAGTGTTTATTACTGAGATATCAAATGTTTAGTGGATTTTTCCTGAAAGTCCTAGTTTCAAAGCAAAATTATACTTTTGAGTTTCAGTCTGAAATTTTGCTCACATAAAGATTCCGATTAGAGTAGCTAGTAGAAAAAAAATTTCAGAATCTTTCGACAAAATTTCTCTGAGATATGAATTTTTCAAAATAGAAGCACCTTGCCATACTTATTGTAAAAAAATTCATATTTCGAAGAGATTTAATCGAAAAACTCTGAATTTTTTTTTCTACAAGCTACTCTAATCGGGATCTTTATGTGGGCAAAGTTTCAGGTTGAAAATCGAAAGTATGATTTTAATGTAAAACTGGAGCTTGAAGGCGATTTATCACTTGGGAACCTTCACTCGGCAGCAGTAGCCGCCTTCCTCAATCTTGGTCATCTCTGGACTAAAGTTCGTCGGGTCCAAAATTTTCCGACTCCTGACTACATACAAACTATGTAATCACATCAATTTCTCACTTCTCTCTGTAAAAATAAATAAATGAAAGCTTTCTATATGAATCTGATTTTAATCACACTCCAAAAACACATGTATATCAAGAGATTAACCAAACAAATAATGTACAAGTATTAACACATTGACAAAAAAAAATGTGTTTTTATATCGAACTATATTCAAGAATTTCCTTCCGTTTTATTTTCTAATAGTATAGATTTATTTAAAAAACAAAATATATAACACCTTTTTTTTTCTGATCAACAACAACAACAATCATTGTTTTTCGTTTTGATCACACCTTTGTTAAGTATATACTCAAATCAATGATTCGCTTTACTTGTCTTTTTTTTCTAATCTTATTCTAAAGAAAAACCAATTAAGACACACCTATTGTAAAAGCAATCACTGTTTACTTGCACAGTAGGTAGCCGCACTCTTTCCCTCTCTCTCTCCATATATATATCATTGAGTCACACCATCCCATTCAAACTTTATACTTATGGTTTCTTAATCAAACTTTTTTTTTCTTTTTCTATACACATAAAGCCAAGGCTTCCTTTGAACACATATTTCAATCACATAATGCCGCATGCATTTATTTGTCCAAGCAAATTGAGATTCTCTCATCGATAGTTGCTTCTCTCCATGGCATCATCAAGTTATTATACGAATTCAATATTGATGAATCTATCGAACAAATAAGAAAAAGAAAAAAAAGAAATCTCTTTTGTTTTTCTTTTCATTCGAAGGTGATGATAGTGAAAATAACTGGGTAGATGATTAGTATTTCTGTTTAATACAAAGACAAAAAAAAAAAATAGAAAAGATAGGAATTGCCAATTGACAGGAAACAAAGACGAGAGAAACGTGCGCGCACATTCAAGTTGACATTTCCGCTCGTGCACATTTATTCAGCTGTCTGAAATTCCGTCGTTACTCAGCATGAGATCGTCACATCATGTTAAGACATCATCATAGATTTTTTTTTTCGAAAAAGAAAACCAAGATCACGACGATAAAGACGAAAGAAAAAGCTGAATGTAATGGCTAACAAAAGGCAAATAAAGAAAAGCAACGACTGTTATATAAAAAAAAGAAAAAAACGAAAAAAAAAAAATTAATTCCATGAATGATCGTTAAAGGCACTTCCTCCTGTTGTGATCACTTGTGAGGTTAAAGGTGGTGTTGAACTACTAAAACGTTGTTGTACATCTTCAGAATCACCTCCCGAAGAATCTGGTACTGTCGCTGATGAACCACTATTTAATTCATGATGCATAGCATATGATAAATCTAAATTATTATTTAACAAAAAAAAATAATAATTTATTTCATTTAAACTTTCATACCTGTAGCTGGTCCATAATTAAGTCTTTGATGTAATTCTTGTTGCATAATAAAATCATTATAACTTTGTGTTGGTGGTCCTTGATACATAAAATCATTTCGAAATCCTTCTTAAAAAATTTCTTTTTTTAGAGATTTTATGTTTTAAAAAGAAACTAATTTATACCTGGTAAATAATTTAAACCAGGATGTGAAACCATTTCATTATCATCAAATGGTCTACCGGATGCTACACGTCGATAATAATGTCGACGTGATCCACCACATGTTATTGATTGTTTAATACGTCGTTCTTTTGAACGACGATTTTGAAACCATACTTGTATAACACGCATAGCTAAACCCGTTTCACGTGCTAATTCTTCTCGTATATGTCGTGTTGGTTTTGGTGTTGCAGCAAACGCTGATTTTAATTGTTCAAGTTGTTTTGTTTTAATTGTTGTTCTTGGACCACGTTTTTTTGGTCCATTTGTATTTCCATTATCTGTATTATCAAGATTGGATTTTTTTTGATGATATACTGATGATGATGATGATGAACAATTACTTGATGAATTATTATTATTATTATTATTTTTATTATTAGTTGTATTATGAATTGTATTTGTTAAACATATTTGATCATCATCTTTACAATCTAATGAACAATCCGACATATGTATATCACCATCATCTTCTTTTAAACAATCAGATGAACTTAAATTTGAATTTGGTGTTGATGTTGATGGTTGAATTTGTTGAGATTTAAATGATGAATTTTCTTTATCATAATCATTTTCATTTTTAATTTGATTATCATTATTATCAAATTCATCTTTACATTTCATTCGTGCAGTAAAATCTTCTTTACATATAAAACGATTATCATGTGTTAAATGTATTTCTTCACCTGTATTTACTTTACGTAAACATAAACAACATTTATAACAATCCCAATGATATAATTGATCCCATGCACTTAAATAATATTCACCTTGACCAATTTCTTGGAGACAACCTGAACAACGACGACACCAAAAACGTCTAAAATAAAAATCAATCAATTAAATATGAATTCAATATAAATAGGGATTGTCTTTTTTTTTTCGTTATACCGATAGAAATCTCTATGACAATATAATTTTCCATCACGTGTATAACATTTTTCTGTTAATAATTGACCACAATCAACACAACGTATACAATGACCATGCCAAAGACGATCTAATACTTCATAAATCCATTGATCGTGGATTGGTTCATGACAAGCAGCACATA